AGATTTGAGATTGAGAGCATTTGTTACTGGGTTAGTTAATGTGATAAAAGTCAATAGTATATCTGGTAAATATCGATTGAACACTAAAACAATCTCTTAATTTCTTGAACAAGAAAATTGTGTGATATGATGCATCTTTTGAAACTTTGAAATTACTGCCGGGCTCCCGCTGCTGAAACCAAAGGGCGCTAACTTTGCTCCCTGTCGGAGAGCAGCGCCATCACTAATTCCTCTCTCTCTCGATAGAGAGCGCTTAAGGCTACGATTTCAATGCCCCGTGAGGGACAGGAATTAAACTCTGTGTCCTGTTCAGATCACACGGACAGCATTAACCAAGACCATCCTAACTACGATACGCGTTGCCTAGTTTCCTTTTATTTTTTTTATTTTTCATGAGAAACCTGAACGAACATATCCTGACTGTAAATTTTGAGGGCATCACCTTTATATATTTTGGTGAAAATCTACGGAAAGTTACGCAGTGTCAAATTTATTGGTTTTCTTGTATAAAAGTCAAAGTATGGGAGGATATTAAACGATATGAAATGTACTTAAGCTGATTTTGGTTACATCCGGCTTTAAGGACTTAATTTGCAATAAGAACTACCAGCTTAATTTAAAAAAGAACATGTTCCATGATTATCTCTCTTTGTAGATAGTCAGTTTTACAAATAAGTCATAAATTAACACGGTCCTTACACGATCCTTGTTACAGAGTGTAATCCACGTGATAATCTGTCTAAATACCAAGAAAATTGGCTATTGTTCTTTCTACGATTTATAAGTCACTCTGTTAAAATCAGGAGAAAGATTCATAGTTTTTTTCCACGTACATTTCAGAGATGGTACGTACCATGATACGGTATAGGTCTGAGTCTAATAAGAAAAGCGAAAGAATCAGAAAAAAATACTCCCGCAAAGTTGGATTTTTTGAAGCACAGTAGGTGATACAAAAATTACAAAATGAAAGTATAGTTTCATGTCTGTTGTAAGTTTTCCACCAACAATTTTAAAACAGTACGCATTTTCTGTAAAGCTGCTTTCGTATCCTAATAGCGCAAGAACGAGGGACGAACTGAGCGCTCCTTCAATTGGGCGGTTATGCAATTTATGCTACTTGAGAGCTGAAATAGTTGTATCACCATTTCATTTTCAGAGCCCCATCGTTGATGAAGAATGGTTAAGTTGCATGGATTAGTTCGTGTGGTTACGCAACACAATTTTTGATAAAAAAATGCATTACATGTATGTGGCCATGTATTATTGATTGGAAAATTGTATTAAGTCGATTTTACTTATGCACACAATTTGATAATATAAAATCGACTTAATGGCTCCGAGTAACGCTTTAACTTCTATGCCGATTGTAGAATCGGCACAAAATCGGATTGTAGAATCGGTAGGTCTTTGTGTCCTAGTCCTCCACTTTGAAAGTTGCCTACAGTTATGTTTTTAAGTCGTTTCCTAGACAAAATCGAGTTATTTACCCATTACAAGTTCACCAGTTTGAAAATACTTAAAATTCAAAATGATGGTGTTTCACTCTTATTTAGATCTCCAATTTTAAGTGGTTATTAAATAAGAAGTTTAGTTGCCCAGTTGTGTTTGACGTATTCATTCTTTTCCCTTCTCAGCACGACATACTTTATGCCTGTTTTCGTGGTATTAGTATAAGAAGCATGGCAAGTTGCGGTCATTCTGCATTTAAAAATTAGTTGAATAAACAAACAAGGGCTGTGCAGTGTAATTTTTATCTACGTTTTATTTTATTTTGATCTTCTTTCATTTGATGAAATAGCTGCAGAGAAGCGGGCTCAACATGCAAACGTAAATGATGACGAAACGCTGGAGACTTATCGCGCAAGCTACGGTCACTAGACGTGAATAATGACGTTTTAGTGGGTCTTAATTCAATATGAGATTCAACTGTTGACAAACATTTACATATTATCCTACCTTCAAAGCCACAGTTTTAAGGTCATTGACACGTGAATTTTATTCGAGTCTGGCCAGAGGCTTCAATCAAGTTTGACTTCCCATGACACAACGGATGCACCGTTGCGATTCTCGCAATTGGTAATGATGATTACTCATATTTAAATCGATTATGAATAATCGATGGACAGATAGGTATTGTCGATTTATACATCGATTAATACAGATTTTTTCAAACAGACGGAAACTTGCTAATTCCGCCGCTGTCGCATTCATAGAGCCCTGAGTCCTACACGCACGTCGATGCCTGAAGTCGAAAAAGACTATCTTCAATTTGACCGCGTTAGGCAGAAAGGCACCAAGACACATAACCTGTTGCCAAATTTAATCGGGCAATTTACTTTCTTTCACCAAAACGGCTGTGCAGATTTTTGTGCAAAGTTCAATGAATTTTTTGCATACTACGAAGCAAATCCCTTAAAATCTTCAAACAAATCTGCAGAAACGTCCTCTTATATAAAATTAAATTGTCCTGTTAAATTTGGTAATAACTGATGTGGCTTGGTTCCTTTCTGCTAAACGAGGTCCAATTGAGACGCTGCAGATCTATTCTAATGTTTTATTTAAAAAAAAAAAAAAAGTATTGAGAAACGATTGTTTTTTAAATTTTATCTGTGAATTAGTTTCACTCATGCAAAAATACTCTCAGAACATTCCAAGGAGGTGTATGATCAATTGAAATGAACGGTTTCCATATCTTTTTTGACCAAGTCAGGAAGAAGCTTAATTTTTGGCACACTTTACTACCTTGATCAAGCAATAAAACCAGAGAGACACGTATTTTAGCAGCAATTTTTTAAATTTGTCACTTTCACTGTTTTTTTTTTTTTTCAAATTAACAGTGAGACACGTTCTCAGGAAATTTTTTTAAATAATATATCCAGATGGTAAAAATAAATAGACGAAATTTTTTTATAAAAAACTAGTGACGATCTAAGCATGGCATGCTTCTAGATGGTGCATGCATATTCTAGATACTGGGCAGTGGGCAGTCGATTTTTTTCCGTCTGCCTACCATCGCTTGCGGTGCAATCCATGAATAAAATTAACGGAGGAGGAAGGGCAAACGCTGCGTGCCAAAATGAGGAACTAGGAAGGAGCAATCATAGAACCGTCCCTACATCAGAAAAAGTCGATACCCATTCAGCAGAATGATTTACTCTTGAAAAAAGCTAATGGTCAAGACAAAAATCAGAAACTTGGCTAACTTGCGCTAATATTGATCACTCACGATTCACCTGACATTTTTCGCTATCTGGAGCTGAATTGAAATTTCCTCTATACTCTCATTTAGGTTTTAATGGTTTAAGTATTGGTTTCAGTAAGCATGTCTAATTAAATTAAACCAACTGTTATAGTAGTTTTCTATATTTTCCTTTCATCAAAGTGAGTATCTATCGATTAAAAAATCGATCTTGGAAAAATTTGCCACCCCTCTTACTTTTTCAATAAAACCTCACCTCTCTCCTTTTCAATAGCTTCCATTTTCTGATCAAAGGGAAAGCAAGTTATACTTTTATGATTCGCCATGCACGGAATCTTTGAACACACATGCCATTGTAGTAATTTTAGCAAGATTGGTCCTCAGTAACCGGTAGTTTACCAGGGAAGATGGTCTAAAACATTCTCCTGCATTTAACGACAAAAAACACGCTTTTTTACGACAACCACTATTCGGTCGATGGCACTAACGAATGAAAAAATTTTTCCAAGATCATCTTTCACTCCAATAGACTCTTCGTCTAACACACTGATCAGCCCAGAGACTGTTGACCTTTATAATTGACGAAGCGCACAGCCGCACAAACTAGACGTTCGATCAAATTTATGAAGTATTGTTATGGCTTTCCAAAGTCTAGTTTTTTAAAGGTAAGAATTACTCCAGACAATCATAATTTGAAGATGGACGGGTTTTTTTCTTATTCTCTATGTAACACGGCAAGAATTGATTTTACTTTCGTAATGTAAAACCAGATCAACTTGCCTGCAAGAGCTATCTATCAACAGACAGAGAACAATAGATAAGCCACGGATAATATTTCTATAAGATGTGTGCTGTTTATACCTGAAATGTTATTTGGACGTATAAGTCAAAAAGAACACATAAAAACCTTGACCTTCTAATTGCATTCCATTTTTCAATTTTGTGCTTCAAATATCCCATTCTCAACTTTAATATCGAACGGTTATTTTAAAGGCGCTTTTATGAGTGTGGCCTGCAGGTTATGCGGTATCAATTAATATCCTAGAAAGCTGAAAAAAATCCGTTTTTTTTGGCGATTTTATGACTTCAGAGTCTACGATCAACAAAGACTAACCTTCCTAAGTGGCAGGTGCCGCAATTGAATTATTTGTGCGTTAAAAAAATTTACGGCTGGTGTGACTTAATGTTCGTAAATTATGTAAGTAAATTAAATTGTTAGCTGGTTCGAACCGAAAATTTATAATTCAACACTCTATATCTTTACATCATTGCACCTCAAGTATGCACGCTTACACTTGTTTTACAAAAGTAAAAACCGACTTAGTATTAATGTAGAGATACCTCCAAACTCTCCTCACTTCATTTAATGTGAATGGCATGATTGTATTCAACAATTCTTTAAAAACTTGAAACCCAAGAATTTTTATGAATGACTTCATCTGGTGCCTTATGATTGATCAACTTCTTTATTGAATGCTCCTCTTCGAAAACTAACATTAAAATCCCGTCCTATTGTCAAAAACTTAATCCTAAGGTCATAGGCTGAATTCCGTTTGTTCATTTTTTGCGAAAAAAGCCCAACCGCAAGGTCAAAAAATTTTCGTCTTCCACTGTTGAAGGACCCAAAAATTCAGATTTTTAGCCACAAAGCTCTTCTTAAAAACTGCTGAATGCGCCAAAAACAGTTACCGTTCACGGAATTTTTTTTGATAAATTATGTTTTTTTCAGTGTTTGGCATCTCTTGAAACAATTCATTCAATTTCATTTAAGAGGAAAAAAATAGACTAGTATATCACTCACCATAGATATTCTGAATACAATTTCGGTCGAAACAAACAATTTCATAACAAATCACTGATTTGAAATATTGAATAAGTAAATGATCAATTAACTAGTGAGATTCTATAGACAAAATCGCCGAACACATTAATCTCTATAATGAGATGTCCGAGAGTGACGAGTGACAAGTGATAGAAACAAGATTACCGCGGAAAATGAGGATGTGAAATCTCAGATCCAACGTCCGAGGCCAGAGGCTTTTGACAACAGCGAGAGCATTGAACTTATTGTTTACGGCTCGCGCGGAAGGACTGGCTCAATTATTGCAAAATAGAATGCGAAATCGATTCGCGTCCGAAAACGTCAGTCTCCTAACACGTCATATTGTCACATGGTTAAACGTCTACATTACCGACGACTTCATGTGTGACGTTGTGTCATTTAAAAATTTCGTCAGGTGCTCTTTTAATTTTCAGATGTAACGAAGCAAATGTAAAATTTGATAACTTTCAATAATTAGGGCCCTTTCCATTGTACTACTTGCAACAAAATTATACCCGCATTTTTCGGAAACACAAATTTGCCACCTAAAAATGTCCATTTTTAAAAAAAAAATTATCAGTAAAAAAAGGAACAAATTGATATTTTCTTCGATTCAAAACGCATGTTTCCCCTCTAAAACTTAAATGATTACCATGTTAATTACCTATACCATAAGACACCATTCAGCCTGTCTCTCTTCATATCGCAAGCATTCCGTTAAAGTTTCTTCGTTAAAGTCCCGTTAAAGTTTTTCCACAATCGCACGTTTTACTATCACAAAAAAGAATCAAATGGAAAATTTGACCCGACCTCGATCCGAAATCCCTCCCACAACCTTTAACGATGGGAGCCCTCCCCGCTGAGGTTATTGAACGCAACCGGAGACAAATACTTTTTCTGCTGAATTTTATGCACAGTGCAGCGAATTAAACAGGAAACACCGATGGAACGTAGGTAGGCGCGTTTTTTTTTTGCGTCCCGCGCGGTGCGGCGATGGAATTCGGAGTTGGGATAGATCAGTGAAGCAATTTACCTTCAACGGTCGAGGTGAGAATCCGGAGGGCATTCACACACGAGCTCGGGTTGTCGGGGTAACATCACAGTCGCACAAGCGCGGAACAAGAGCGGCCGAATCCTGACCGCCGATTGCATGTTGCGATGAGCCGGCTAATTTCAATTTATAATCGGCATTTTTCGGGGCCCTTTGCCTTTTTTTTCTCGAGGCTTTCCCGGCCGAGGCGCAGTAGCGGCGACTTAATTGCGCGACCTGACCGCCTCTATTTCCGTATGCAATAGGTTCGGGCTCATTTCCGCCCCGACTCCTCCCCCCCCCACCTCCCTTCTCCCGCCCCGGCTGACGCTGACACATCCCTGGTCAAAGATCCGCGGCTCTGTTGTCATGTTACGTTCGAAAAGTGCGTGCTGAAGCATTACACAACATTGCGTTTAGGTTGTGTGTGTGCAAACTTTTAAAGGTGTGTGGTTAGAATGATCTTGGCCTGCATTGAAGAAGAAATGTTCGGTCACATGGGCCCAAATCTTGTTGGTTTACGGCCATAGAGTACATAGAGTCGTAATGTAAGTGGGAGAGCTGTTCCACTGTTCCCCATGTTCTGCTCGACGAGTTTCGAGCCCGGTGTGTGGGGTCACTTTTTCGATACATATTCGATCCAAAATGGCGATGTGGAATATGGCCGGGTCCCCGTGCATCGCAAACAATCGATTATGTATCGAAAAAGGGACCCGGCGCCGCACAGGAATCTCGGAATTCGGGACCTGGAAAATGCTTAAAAGTGGCGCCAGCTCTCTCACTTGCATTACGACTCTATACACTCTATGTTCACGGCCGACCGCAAGTTGAGAACTTAACCTCAAAATCCGACTTTAAATTGCAATAATTATATTCTAAACTCAAGCTGTGCGCAAGTTGAGCATTTTTTACAACTAGATAGAGCCACCTTTAGTTTCCCAGCGGTGCAAACCATTAATCAGCGACCGAAAAACAAAGTCAACATCCTTCCCTGAACTTGCGGCCGACAGTAACTCTGCTAACAAAATTCGGGCCACGAGCCGTAAATGGTACGTACGGTGTTCTATACCGGCCTTGCTATTCGGTTTGTGTAACCATATACCGTAATTCCGGTTCTGAGTACCGTATCCTCAGTTGGTGCAACCAAGCTCTTCCTGCGCTGGAAAAAATTTACGGACGATGTAGTATACCGTCCGCTCCAGGCACAAACGCCGGAAGTTTCGAGCACAGGAAGGCGAAAGTTTCGGGCATAGGAACCCGAAAGTTCTGGGCTCTGCCGGGGCCGCAGCTTTTACTGCTACGGGTTCAGAGGTTAGAGCAACGGGTGCTACACCCGGAACTTTCGGCTTCTGAGCCCGAAACGGACGGTGTGTCTATATAGCCCATGAGTAAAAAGCCGGCGTTTTTTTCAGTGTGTAGTTTCTTTGGTTGTTTGTTAGTTTTTTCTTGCTTGGAATGCGGGAGAAAACCGAGTTCCGGCAATTATTGCTCGCATGTGCTAGGTAGTTTGGTTTAACACCTCGGTTGCATTACGGCTCTTAGAGCTAATCAGTTGCGATTCTTAATTGTTGGCAACGCCGTTTTTCTACAATTGAAAGCCATTAAATATATTGACTTAAGCAGCAGGGCCTGATCTAGGCGGTGGCCACATGGGCCGCGGCACATGGCTGCAAATTTAGGGGGCGGCAAATTTTGCAATTTTTTCAAATGTAGGTATCAAAAAAAAAAAAAAAAAAAAAAAAAAAAAAAAATCGGATTCAGAGGAAAAATTAGAAACGAGAAAAGGCGACAAAATTTCTCATTTCCTGAGAGTAAAAGTATAGTAGTTTCCAATTTGTTCGTCTTTCGGTGATACAAGGTACAGTACCTTTCATTCGTCTGGTTGAGAGAGAAACCAAACACGCAATTTGGCCTGGAGCGGCGTGGCGCAGAGAGCAATGATGACGAGGACTTGAGATAAGAAACTTTGATAAGAAACCCTCTGCGCGCCGGTCAGCATGAAACACATATTAGCGCCTACAAGTTTTCATGAATACTTCATGCATTGCGTCAAACGTAGCGTAGTGCGCTGCGGTCAGCAGCGGTTGGCGTGAAACGCATAGCGCATACTAGACTGACACTTCACGCCGGATATCTCACGCAATGCGCCAAACACAGTGCGGTCGGCGCGGTGGCGGAAATTAAACTTATTAAACCATGTTTATTCTTCCATAATTTGTTCGTTCATTTCTTATAAATGAAAGGCCTTGTCCACACAGAGATAGGTTTACGGAACTTGACTTTCGCGCAAAGCTCCGTGAACTTTTGCTAGTGTTGACAGTGCTTTCACAAAGAATGTGCCCAAAACGAGTAAACGCGCCTTATGCACCCCTCCCTCTCCGGCACGTTCACTTGATGGTTTGTATCGATGTTTCAAAACGAATGAGAAGAAGGTGGCAAAATAGAGGCGGCCCATGGGCGGCAAAATACAGGCGGCCCATGGGCAGCAAGTAGGTAACTCTGGCCCTGTTAAGCAGTGGTGTGGTATGCTTTGCGATAAATCGATTGATTTGTCATTTAAACCTATAGAAAAGGATCGATAAACATGAAGTTCGAAACGAATACCTCAATAATCGACTCTTCGCCAAGGCTTCAAATGGGGAGATATCGACAATTGATCATTCAAGCCACTGGATTTTAGGTATAAGGCAAGTTGCCTCACAAAGAATCCATTATTTCAAATACATTAGAATGGAAGAAAAACAGTTTTGTCATCTTTCAAGAATCGCCACTGGAACCAATGGTACGGTAACATGAACCGAATAGTACGGCCAGTATAAAACACCTTACTTACGGCTCATTTGCAGCTGAGAGGTTGTGGAGTAGACTGGTTGATTTTTGAGAAAATTTAACGCAGATCCATTCAGAATATTTAGAAATAAACGCAAACCAAGCTGAATTCTCCTATTCATCTCTGTAAATGTATAAATTAGCTTAATAATATTTGAAAGTTTACGTGTATCCCCAATTGAATTTTAATTTTAATATTCAGTGAGAGAATGGTCTAAGCTGACGGCCACGGATAAAGCTAGTTTCTAACTTTTAAACTTGATCTAGAAATTTCCTCTGTATTCAACGATTTGATGAGGACACGATGATTACAACAATGATTTGATTTACTCGCATGGCGAGTTATCCTGTCTCGTGGTCTATCAAAGATGATTAAATCGAAAACAGCACACAAGCAATATATTGCGGTAGAAGAAATTCTCGATAAAAATAACTGAAATATCAACTTGTAACTCAAAAAAGACCAAGGAAACTTCAGGTGCACTCACGCCCCAATCTGCGTCTTTTCGTCCCCACGATGATGTAAAATACGAGCACCTATCAGTTGAACTGCCTTTTGTGTATTAGTGCAATAAAATTTTGCATAAATCATCGTGACGAGCAATTGGTGCATTTTTGTTTGATGAATTGACAGTGGCCTTGAAAATAAAACCGGTCCTCCTCTATATTATGCAAGGTATTGACTAGAACAGTGCATCAGTGGTTTGGTGATCTGAACGGTTACGGATAACCAAAACAGGACTCAGACACCTTACACTGAAAATGAATGGTCAAAATAAATGTCTCATATCTCTGATTGGTTTCAAAATAATCAATACAATCAATCGGCATTTCGATTGCGACAGCTGAATTCCGATTTCAAAAAGAAATAATAAGACTCCTAAAATTTTAGAACTGCCTCCTCGATTGACAGTGATATCAAGATGCTATTTTTAAATTTTTGATGATAAAATTCTTGAGCTCTTAAGATTTTGATCGTACTTTTTCTAATGCCAGGTGATACAATTAAATCTCATATGTACGGACCTCGGTGCAAATATAGCTCAACAATTTTTCGGCTCAAGTAATTGAGCTCTTTGGTGTAGGAATCGAACTTTGATTAACCAAAGAGTTCGAGAGCTATCATGAGTCTCTTAGTTTCTTTTCAAAGGTTTTGAAAAGCTAATCCAAAATTTGGATTTCATGACCAAAAGAGCGTGTCAAAAAAGTGCCCCTTTTTGGAAACGCACGAAATTGTTTTAAATCTGTCTGAAGATAAAATAATTTCCCAATGGAAGTTTTTGATAAGTTTAAAGTTAATTTTGGCATTACAGTGCTGCAAAGTTTGCACTTCTCACCATTAA